ATAAAAAATTAGCAGATTATTGAAATTTCAGTATTTCGGTTTTCAAGTTTATCAAAAATTCTTCAAATTTTTAAAATCGGTAAATCTAAAATTTTTGAAACAAATACAGTACTGTTTTTTTTTGAAGAATTTTCAACATTTGAACAAAAATATTAAAATTGTTGAACAATTCATTAAATTCTAGGCCTGAAACTTTCACAAGTTATAAAATAGCAAAGAATTTCAACATTTGATTRTGTTTGATCTCAAAAATTGAGATTTTCCACCTCAAGACATTGAATCTTACAATTTTTGAAAATATTAGAGATGTGGTCACTTTAATTTAATTTTTTTTGTGATTTTGAATCCAAAGACCTCAAAAAATCTGAGTAAAAACTAAGAAAAAATTTCAGCTGTCTAGTTTGCATTCTTAATAAAAAGATTTTGTTACAGATAAAAAATTAGCAGATTATTGAAATTTCAGTATTTCGGTTTTTAAGTTTTTCAAAAATTCTTCAAATTTTTAAAATCGGTAAATCTAAAGTTGTGTGAAACAAATACAGTACTGTTTTTTTTTGAAAAATCTTCAAGATTTGAACAAAAATATCAAAATTGTTGAACAATTCCTTAAATTCTAGGCCTGAAACTTTCAGAAGTTATAAAACAGCAAAGAATTTCAACATTTCATTGTTTGATCTCTAAAATTGAGACTTCCACCTCAAGACATTGAATCTTACAATTTTTGAAAATATTAGAGATGTGGACTTTCAGACGTGAATCTCGAATATCAAAATTCTCGAATTTCTAAATCTTAAAATTTTGGTTTTGTGAAATTTTCATATTCTAAGATTGTGGAATTTTTTAATTTTTGAACAATCATAGTCGAGAATCTCTTCTAACAGTGTCTGAAAACTCCCTCATTTTCCTGTTTTTGGTTGTTTCAAATACATATATCAAAATTAGAGAAATTTAAAATCTTGAAGATTAAATTTTTTTATAGTATATATTGTATAGTAAGTTACGATACAAACTTGTGTTTTTTTAAATGAAACACCGTATGTTTCTTTGCATTTTTGGATGTAGCTTTAATACAATGATTTACGCTAAACTTTTATTAGTTGATTTTTAGTTTTGACGAAAACATGCACTTTTTAAAAATTTACCACACAAAAACTAAGACAGCTAGAACAATTTTTTTCTTACTTCTGCAAAAAAGAAAGTACAGAATTTAAAACCTAGCAATTTTTTAGTGTTTTGTATTTGTAAAGATTAATAAATTAAGAAGTTTGTTAAAAGTTAACTTAAAAAAATTTGATGGCACATTCTTGTGCAACTGTGCACTTTTTGGCTACTGAAACAATAAAAAAAATAATTTAATAAATTTTTTTTTAGTTATTGATTATAAACACCTAAAAGTAAATAATTTTAGAAAGATAATTTAACAATCTTTTATATGCAAAAATAATAAGTATGGTGTATTATTTAAATTTTTTAAGTTATTGAAACACTAAAAAAATGTTACAACCTTATAGCTTGTACCTTTTTCTTTGCGGTAGTAAAAAAATATTTCTAGATGTCTTAGTTTTTGCGTTATTTTTTTTTAAAGTGCAAAAAAACCGTCTTAGTTTTAAAACTAAACAAAATCGACAAATAAAAGTTTAGTTTAAAAACATTGTCATAAAAATCTACATCGAAAAATGCTAAAAAACATATGGTGTTTTATTTAAAAAAACACAAGTTTGTAATGTATAGTTGAAAATAATTTTAGGCGATAGACTAGATTAGTATCTATCAATGTCCCATATAATTTTTTTTTACCATATAAAGGTCACCATGGACTTTTTAATTCGCTAGGACACCCTGTATTATTTAATAAAAAATTGCAATAAAGCAGCCGTGAAATTCGCTGTTTGTAAGAAATGATATAATCTAGTCGAATCCATTGCACTTTCTCTTCCAAAGAAAATTATTAGTTCCAAGTGGCACGAATTTTCTTCTCGTGTCAAGTAGTCGATTATTAATTTTCTCAAATCTCGTAATCTCGAATATTTGAAATAATTGAAGACGTAACATCTTATTCTTCTCGACTCAGCAAGTGTATAAACACATAAACGTCATCTATAACTCTTATTGCACCACTTGACTTATGTTATTTTCCTCCGAAGGTGAATCTTTGATTTTCCTCTCCTCGATGGTATAGAAACTCGTCCAATTCATGCTCTAATAAAAGCGCTCGAAGGCCGTGCGTTACGGATGGTCTCGACTCAAATCCAGTGACATTAAAAATTTAAGATCCTATCTGTTCACTCGCATTATCATAATTAATAACGCCACCAGAAGCTATTATTTCGCCTATTGTTGTGTTACGCAATGGTCAGCGAAATAGCACCCACATATGGGTGAATGTCTCGTTCCAGATATGTTAAGGCCTCCCGGTGAAAGCAATTTTTAATTCCGATTTTGAGACCTTCAACTGGAGCGGTTTCCAAACCAAATGTGTAACACATTATTTTTCGTTCTTGGGTGCTTTCGTAGGAGGCAAATTATTTATTAGTGTGTTTTTGCGAAGAAAACAATTTTGTCAAAACAGGGAAAAGAAAAAAAAATGCAAAATCAGAACAAGAAACGGATATTAAAGACAACAAAAACAAAAAAGGGAGAAGAGAAGAAAAATGAGAGCAGATAAAAAACTAAATAAATTACAAAATAAATAAATTTTATTAAAAAAATTAAAATAGAAAAAAAAACAAAAAAAGCAAAAAGAGATGGCCATGAAATTCAAAGAAAATTATTGTAAAAGGAAAAACAATTACTTATTATTATTAGAGTTATGAGTTATTACAAAGAAAGAAAAAGAATAAAAAAATTCTTTGTTGAAGTAAAATAAAAGAGAAAGGAGCGGTTTGAGTAAACAAAAAGGGCTAAGCATAAATGAGGCAATAATGAAAACTAGACAAAAAAATTAAACAATTTTGCAGTTAAATTTATCAGATAATTTTAATAAAACCTATAAAAAGAAAATAGAAAAAGAGACAAAAGAAGCAAAAAGATTAAAATGATAACATATTTAAGAAATTTTGTTTTAACGTAAGGTAAGGATGAAGAGGTGGTTATAAAAAAAGAAAGATATATTTTTCTTATTAGAGAGTTTTTATATTAATGTGCATCGAAGTACTTGTTGAAAGGGATGATTTTAAGATGACAATCATGTGAAAATGCAAACAATCTTAACCTCAGTTTTTCCCAAAAATTATTTTCTTAAATAAATATGTGTACCCCAGTTTTTGAAATATTAAAAAATAATTAAAATTAACAACGTATTAGCATAGGGTGACAAAGAAAAATTTTTTAGGCATTATTAATGTGACTAAATTTTTTATGAATGACATCAGTGACAATTTTTGTGTGAATTGGCCTAAATTGAAGACGCATTTAGACTTCTACAACCTACTTGATGCACATTAATATGAATACGAATATTGGTATAATAAGAATAATTCACCTAAAAAATGTTGTTATGAAGAAGTAAAAAACAAAGAAGCGATGGATAAAAAAAAGTAAACAAAAATGTTACGTTTGAAATTAAAAATGTAAAAAAAACTATAGGAAAAAGCAAAGTAAAACAAAAAGAAAAGAAAATAGGTATATTTTGTAGAGATATGCAAAAATAAAGAAAAAAAATGTAAGATTAACAAAAGAAAGTGACGTAAAATAAAAACAGCGAGGAAAAAATATAAAGAAACAGAAACACAAATATTAGAAAACCGCTTTTTCAAATAAAAAACAAAATGTATTTAGTTCTCGTTTTTTGGTAAAGTGTCGCAACTGGATTTATTTTTTTTTAACATTAAAAACTTACTTAAATTTAGCTCTTTAAAAGAGCTTAAAACTCTTGACATGTCATGTTTTTGTTGATAACACTAAAATTAGATTTTTTTTTAATATTACAAAAAAGGTAAGCAAATAAAATGTTGTGATTATAACTAGAATAATTTATTTTTTTATACAAAACACAAAATGAAGCAACTGGATTGGTTTTTTTATTTTAATTTTTGAAAATATTATAAATTTACATAAATTTGTCTGTAAAAACGGTAGACATGTTAATTATATACAGAATTTTTTTAAAAATTCCAGTCAATTGATGGTGAAAATTATATCAAAGCAAAGAGATAAGCAAAAAAAAACAAATTTGTTATAAATAAAGTAATTTATGTCTCATCTATGTAAAAAGAACACTCTTTAAATTAAAGTTACTAAAAAAATATAGATATTCCAGAGAAAGTGAAATAGGATCAGAAGGACAGTATAATATAAAGAAAAAGAAACAGATATAGAGAAAATAAAGTATAAAAAGAAAGATAAGAAGCAGACGATGATTTAAAAAACGTTAGTTATATTAAAATGAGCATTTGAGAGAAAACTTGACCTGAAGTACCATAAGGAAAACTTAATTTTTGTTCAGTATATTCAAGATCTGCATTTTATTGAAGAAAAGCCTGAATTTTATTTAGTATAATGAAGTAAAGTAAGTAAACAGAGGAAAAACCTAAATAACGGTGCATTTCTCGTAAAAAAGGCAAAAAATGATGAGGAAAATGAATATGAAATGATGAAAATAAAAATTCTAATAAAAAAAAATAATACAAAAAAAATATCAAATAAAAATAGGTACAAAAATTAAAACATTAAAACATAGATTTGCCAAAAAAACTAACTAAATAAAAAAAAATCGAAACAAAAAAGGGATCAAAAATAAAAAATATTAAAGTGTTTCTAAAAGAAAACAAAACTTACATTTTAAGTACGAAACAAAAAATGGAAAGTTGAGTTTTTAAAACATCGATTTTTTGATAGATTTTCTTGTTTCAGCGGCTTAGCGATGCCCGACGCCATCATGAAGCCAATTTATCTCCGAGGTGAGTTTTCTCCGGCGTTTTTTCTATCACCGTGCTCAGTCGAGTGTACAAACTGGCCAACATTCAAGTTCGAAAAATACGTTAAGGCCGTTTCACGCACCGTTACTGACCGTAATTAACACGCGTTGCGTAACGTGCAATTTGCATTCGGACTAAAATTAGAGGAAATAACTGCAACGACAGTCTCCGCCTTAGGCCGCTTTTCGGCCAATTCGGTCAAAGCCAAACCGGAGTTTTCCGGCCAATAGAAAGCCACTCGGAAAATTATAGTTTGCCTAATTGATACTAAAACTACCAGAGATAAACAGTTGCATAATGTGGTTAATTATGAATGTGCTAGAATGTTCTAATGAATGGGAAATGTAAGGAATTGGTTGAATTCGGTTTCAATTCATTTTTTTACAATTGCTCCGGTTTTAGATTGTTGTTTAACCACTTGTCTCGACTGAAATTTCAAAATTGCGTTTAATATAAATTACTGTCACTCATTATTGTTTTAAATTGGAGATAATAGTGTGGAGATTGACACTTGATAATAGTAAATCAAACGAAATTTACGCCTACTGGATGTGGTGACCCACTTTTGAGATAATACCATTGTGGTCGAGAAGAATTTTGTCAATTTATTTTTTCAAATTGATTTTTTTTTTCATATGTGGAAACAATTTTTTGTGACTTTATGTGGAAGGAAAGGCCACCTTTCAGTTGTTACAATTTTTTTTTTGAGTTTCGAACATATTTTATCATGTTCTACAAAGTGCTTCGTTTAAAAAGTTTCGCTAAATTTAACACCACTTGACAAGTAGGAAGCACGAATATGGTATTGTCACGACATAATTTCGCTCTATATTTTTTACTACTACGTAACAATTACCTAATTTCGAATTCTTAAAATCAGAAAAACAAAAAAATTGTAGTGGGAAAAACGGTTTTAACTGTTCTTGAAAATTGTAAAATTACATGTTGTGACAGTACAAATTTAACAAAATTACAACAATGAGACACATAACAGCATGTTGTAAATCAAGTGTAGAAAACCATGAAGAATTGAAGAACATCGTCATGGACTGTGGATTGTTCTTTGTTATTATGGGAGTTTTTAGGAAGACGCAAAAAGTAAATTAAGCTACCGCGAAATGGTGACATCCAAAATTAAAAAATTGTGTTTTTTTTCCAAATGGCCTCCAAAATCACTCGATTTGGACCGTATTGAATTCATACAGAATAGAAGACAAACGTGCAAAATCACTACATTATTATAATCCAGGTTTAAATCGTTTTAAAATTTGAGAATTAACAAAAGTTTCCTTGTATCTACCTAAAATTGTGCAATAAATGAATTTGAAAAAGAGATTTTTTCCATACCTAGTTGTTTTTTCCACATTAGTGGCCTCCAAAATTGCCCGATCTAAACCCTATTGAATTCATATGGGACAGAACAGAAGAAAAACGTGCAAAATTATACTCCACTTCATTATCAATAAAAGTTTATGTATTACTCGTGTCTCTACCTAAAATTTTACTAAATTTTATTATTTATATTCATTTATTACTATAAATGAATTTAAAATTTTAAAAGGGTTTAAGTATCATTTTCCTTGTTTTTAATTTGATATTCAGTTTCCAAAGTAAGTAAAAAATATTAAAAAGAGATAAAAAACTTAATTAAAAAGGAAGGAAAAAAAGAGAGGCATAAAAAGAGTAGCTAAAAAAATTATTAGTTGTACAATAAATTACTTTAAATTTACTGTAATAAAAAAAAAGATTAAATGATAAAATAGAAAATTGAAGAAAGAAAGAGAAACACATTTTGTATAATTAAGAGACAAGACCGTTAATGCATACAGATTGGCATCAACGAGCAAACAAACTAAGAATAAAAAACAGAGAATAAATTTAAAAATGAAAAGAAATAAATACCTGCTTACCTATTACATATTGAAAAAATAATGTATGAACAGTTAAAAAATAGCGTTTTTATTGTTTTACTAAAAATATACAAAAATTGTAAATAATTGACAAAAAATTGTAATTTTGTTGATCAATAAAATGAAGAAAATTAAAAATAGGAAAAAAGGAGCAAATTGCATAAACAAAAAAAAGTTGAAAACCGTATAATAATAAGACAGCATAGAAAAGCATGAAAAAAAGAGCAAAAGTTGAAGTATATTTTGCAGAGATAAGAGAGAATAAAATATTTAACAGAATCTTAAAATTAAATTATTTTTTTTAACAAAAGTGTATTTTTTAAACTCCAATTATTTTGAAAAAGTGTTGATTGCGTAATAAAGTAAACTTTTAAAGAAAAACTTGTCTTGGACTACAATGATTTTGCTAGGGATGTCCTTCTAAATTACCCGATTTAAGTCCTATTAAATTCATTTGGGATAGAATAGAAGAAAAACGTGCAAAATTACTACAATAGGTTTGAATCGTTTTAAAAATTGAGAATTAATAAATGCTTATGTATTTTTCGTGTATCTACCTGAAATTTTGCATCAAATGATTTTGATGTTTTAAAACGTTTTGGTGATTATTTCTGTTCTTTTCAATTCGATTGGAAAGTAAGTAGAAAAAAGAGATAAAAAATACGATAGAAACAAAAAAAAACATAACAAAAAAGTTGATAATAAAAGTAAATGATAGACAAATATGGGAAGAATACAAAAATAAAGGAATTAGAGAATAGATAAAAAGTAGGTAAAAAATAAATAATTGCACAATTAATTTGAAAAAAAAAAAAGAAAAATGTAAAATTAAATGAAAAAAAGACAAAATATAAAAAGTAAAGAAAGAGGAGGAAATGAATATTGTGTATAAATAAAAGAGAAGATTGTTAATGGCATTAAAAAGCAAAATATGTAAGAATAAGAAACAGAGACACAAAACAATAAGTAAAAAAATTATTGGAAAAAATATGACATAAATAGTTTGAAAGTGTTTTTTACTGTAAATAAACAAACATTTTTCGTATTTGACCAAAAATTATAATTTAGTTGACCAATAAAGGAAAGTAAAAAAAGACAAAAGAGAAAAGAAAAAAGGTAGCAAAAATAGAAATATATTTTGCAGAGAAAAGTAAAAATAAGGACATTTAACTGACATAGATTTGACAAGAGAAAATAAATAAGAATAAGACACAAAGTTAAAAAATAGATTGTACTCGTATTTTCCAAACTTTAATTATTTAGAAAAAGGGTTGATTGTGTAATAAAATATGCTTTTAATAAAAAACTGCAATAAATTTGCTTTTTATGTCTTTTAAATTACCCGATCTGAGTCCTATTGAATTCATATGGGATGGTATAGAAAAAAATCTTGCACACCATTAACTTGCAGGTCAATGTCTTCCACATTTTTTGCTCGCTTAATAAAATTTTTATAATCTAGGTGTGACTCGTTTTAATTTAAGTGACAATAAATTTCAAGTAGAATTCTTGCAATAGATAAATTTGAAATTTTCCAGTTGAAGTTTCATTTATCGTTTCCGTTTAATTTCTTCTCTTTTCAATCTAATGTTTATTGGATTTATTAGTGTTTGCGACGTCCTCATTACTTGGTTTCATTTTGTCAATTATCAAATCTCTCATATCTCAACCTTGCTAAAGCTGCGATAAGACAATTAACCAACAATTTTTGACACTTGGGGAAAGTTAAACCGCCCAAGACCGGAAACAAACTTAAGGAAAGAGAATCTAATTAGTGGTTTCCTTTTTTGAAACAATCATTCGAGTTCAATGCTACGAGAAAAAACGAATTTTTGTGTGCAGTTACCAGTTTTATATGTCAACGAGATGATAAAATTTGAAATCATTTTTTTTTGTTTTGTTCCGAAGATGGGATACCGGCCTTGATCTATAGCAGAAATTAATTAAAACTTAACTTAATAAAAGCTTTAGTATTTTTCGTTTATCTCCCTGAAATTTTGAATTAAATGAATTTAATGTTTTAAAACGTTTTAGTTATCATGTCTGTTCTTTTCAATTCGATTGCAAAGTAAGTAGAAAAAAAAAGAGATAAAAAGAAAAAATAGAAAAAGAAGGAAAAAAAGAGCAACAAACAGTTAACGCCTGTAGATGAATAATAAATTAAAAAGATGAGAATAGGAAACAAAAACAAAACAAAATTGCTTATAACAGAAAAAATTAATAACAAAAGTAAAAGTTAGACAAATATGGGAAGAATATAAAAATAAAAAATTAGAGAATAGATGAAAAATTGGTAAAAAAATAAATAATTGCACAATTAATTTGAAAAAAATAGGAAAAAATTCTTAAATTAAATGAAAAAAAGACAAAATATAAAAAGAATATTGTGTATAAATAAGAGACAAAATTGTTAATGCATATAGATTGACATCAAAAAGCAAAATATGTAAGAATAAGAAACAGAGGAAAAAAATAAAGTAACAAAAAAAATTTTTGGAAAAAATAGGAAATAAATGGTAAGAAAGCGTTTTTTTTAAACAATCATTCGAGTTCAATGCTACGAGAAAAAGCGAATTTTTATGTGTAGTGACCAGTTTTATAAGTCAACGAGATGATAAAATTTTGAAATAATCTTTTTTCGTTTTGTTCCGGAGATGGGATACCGGCCTTGATCTATAGCAGTAATTAATTCGAATCGTGTTACAAAAATAATCCACCGGCGGATTACCCGCGACAGAATTTCGCAACTTAAAGGTCGAACGCAGGAAACCAGACCCAATTCTCATTACATTTCATTGCGGAGATTGATTTGCGATCATCCTTCGGATTCCAGCTTGATTTCGCCTCCGCTTGCACAACGATTCGGATTTTTTCCGTATTCTTTCAACGTGAGAATCAACACACAACTTTCTTTACAACAATACCGATTTCGAAATATCGAATTTTTCGTTGCAGGTCTGCTGTGGCTATACCTTTTGGGCTGCTTCCTCTTCGCGGCTGCTCTGGAACCTGGCGTGAGTATTATTCACCGTGGAAATATTCCAACGGGAGTGTCGGAGGACGTGATGTAAACAAACATTTTTCCAAACCACGCGAATTCAAGGGGACGCAGATATGGGCAATTGCGCGGCGTGGTGTCCATCACAAGTGACTCACTCATTCATAAATTAAACTAATTAACTTTCGTTTTTCGTGGGAGGGTTACACAAATAGCCCAGTCAAATTAGACAAATCGGTGGAAAAAAATCCTAGAGAGTTGGATTTTTTGTGTCTTTTTTGTTTTTTTGCTTATATCTCGGAAATTATCACTCCTATAGGTTTTTATCTTCTTATCAAAATTAAAGCTTACAAAATTTTCTACAAAAATGGTCCTTTGCATTTTTGTTGTAGGACTAACCGTAAGCGAGTTATAGGGAAGAAAAAACCTAATTTAAAAAAATTGGCTTTATCTGCATTTAAAACAGAATTAGTCCTGTAATTAAAAAAAAAACTGACAGTAAATTGAATTTACTGAGTACAATACTTGATTAAAGGAAGGGGGAGTCACGAGGGTTTATAAATACAAACTCATCCTATATGTAATTTATGCAGAATTTTCTCTAGAAGTCTATTTCTGCATCAAAATTTCCTACAAAAATGGTTCTATTTATTTTTGTCGTAGGACTAACCGTAGGCTTCAAAAGTTTGGAGTCTACATAAAATTGGATTAAAAATCCTTTGAAGCACATTTCATTAGGATATGGTAAATATTTATATGTGTAGAGCGTTCCTCAACTAAGCTGGTCTTCCTGAAAGGTGACTCGGGTGTAAACATTTAAAAGGAGATATAAAAAAAATTTGGATGAAAGAGAGAATCAATCTGTAAGGGGGTTAAATGGAGTGTAAATGTTTAAACAAAGATATAAACATAAAATTCTTTAGAGGTGTAAAGGGGCACTAAAATCAGATTTTTCGAAAATTAGTTTTTAAGTGAATAAAACGATATTCACATTTAAAGGGATATAAAAACATAAAATTTAGAAAATATCATAGAAAGTGTAGAAGTGCACTTTTCAAATTTTAACGAAATAAAATAGAGTTTAACGCTTAAAAACAAAATTAGAAACATGAAATTTCGAATTTTGAGAGTGCAGAAGTGCACTGAGACGACACTTTATGAAAATCAACATTTAATATTTATCCAATACATTCAATTTACTGTAAGCTTTATTCAAATCATCGATATTAAATCATCTATTTATTAATATTGTACTGAACAAGACTGTAATTCGGTTTTCAATGTTTAAGTTGAAGACGAAGATGCAGCATATGAGGACGACTCGGAAGACTTTATAGACTCTCTTATGAAGTGTTGCACCCAATAAATTCACTTTGCTTTCAGTTTTTTCAAATCACAAGATTAATTCTATTTTAAATGCGGATAAAGCACATTTTTTTAAATGATGTTATTTGTCAGCCCTATAACTCGCTTACAGTTAGTCCTACAACAAAAATGCAAAGAACCATTTTGGTAGGAAATTTTGTAGGCTTTAATTTTAATAAGCAGACAAAAACCGTTAGGAGTAATAGTTTCCGAGATATAAGCAAAAAAACAAAAAAAGACACTTTTAGCCCCCTCCCCCTCCTCGAGCTCGCCCCCACCTTCGGGAACTTTTGATATATGTCTACCCAAGAATAGAGAAAGCGTTTAAAAAAATTTCAACTCTCCAGGATTTTTTTCCACCGATCGCCCTATTTTTATCTAATTTGACTGGGCTAAAAGCTCTACTCGAGGACCGATTCTAATCATCGCTATTTGCAGTTTTTGGACTTTGATAACCTCCCCGATACGAATTTCTCCTGCGTTGGGAAAGTAATAGGAGGGTACTATGCCGATTTGGAGACCAATTGCCAAATGTTCCATGTTTGTACCATTGGGCAGCTGGACGAACCCATGGACATCCGGTTTCTGTGCCTCAATGGGACCGTTTTTGACCAGGTACCACCCACAATTCAACCATCACAAATCACAGTTAATTCTTGCAGGAAACTCGAGTTTGTGAACGAATCGATGAAGTTGATTGCTCAAAATCTGAACAGTTCTATAGTCTCAATCTGGAACTGTACGGAAACACCCAACCCAGTGTTTTGGAAGGTTAGTCCTCTCGTATTAATTACAGTTAATTAATGTTTTAATTACAGAAAGCGAAACTGATCCTCCAATCATAATCAAGGCTTCGACAACAACAACAACAACAACTCCACGCCCAAAACCCAAAACAACCCGGACGTATTTTACAACACCAGTGCCTACTGTGACCACCAAAGTCATATCATCGCACCATTTCCCGATTTCCGGTCAGACAGACATCCGGTTTAACCCGGAAGAAATCAATATTAGTCTCAATCCGGGTGCGCCGCCTAATATCCGGAAACCGGTCTCCTACCATCAGCAAGTCTTCAGTGACAATAAGAAGGTGGTAGTGACCACGCATACCACTTATGGTAGTGATAAGGATGATATCCTCCGGGTGGTACCAAACACCCAACGGCCGGTCTCGTCGACTCAAAAAACCAAACCACCGGCCACCCCAGCTGATATCAATTATGGATTCACGTACCATCAGACTGAGAAAGTACCACATAATTATCAGTACCATCACGCGAGTTTCCAGCATGGGCAGTTCCGGGATCAGTTCAAAACCACTGAAAGGGCGACAACCCGGAAACACGTATATAAGGAACCAACGACGTTTCGGACGACTTATGTCAAGCCTCAGTACCAGTATCATACTGAGAAGCCTCAAAGGGTCCAATTGCCAGTACCATTGCTACCAACACTGCCACCTTTGACGTTTAGTTCACCAGCACCGTTTAGTTTAGGCCACCATATTGAGACCAAACGATACACCAATGAGCATCAACCACCCAGAATCATAATTAGTGCTAGTGCTAGTGTTAGCGATGCTAGTGGGCGAAGACTCAACTATTCTTTAGGTACCATCGGTGTAACGCCTCTATTGGAGCAATCACCGAAAACCTACGACGAGTACAAGGACCATGACGTGGTCTTGGACCCATTTTACCATGACGTGCCCAAAATCAAGACCAAGAGACGCAAAAGACAAGTCAATCATTCCGAAGTGATCAAAAATGAGCAAGAAGCAGTCGATGTTTTGAAATTTTTGTTTGACTGGTACCAAAACCATCAAAGAACTAGTACCATTAGAGTACCAATCGATGCTGAAGATATAACAGAGATAAACCAAGAGTTGGCCCCTCTTGTTGCACCAACTAAAACCGAAGAAAATTTTGAGCAAAGTGCTTTATTCCAAAGGAAGAGTAAGTTTAACATTGTTGGAGATGTTTTAAGTGTGACAGAAAAAGAAAAAAATAGTACCACTCAAACTAGTACTAGTACTATTGCAAGTGTGGGTACTGAAGACTATGTTGACGATAATTACGAAGCGTCGCAAGGAGCGGGGGTGGAAACTACGATTTTACCCCAAGTTGCGACTACGACGACTAGTACCACTAGTACGACAAGAAGGACACGAGGCAGGGGTCGTACCCAATATAAAAAAGTTTCTGAAAGTGAACCAAAGTACTCAGCGTCGTATTGGAGGAGGAGAGGGCGAGGGAGGAGTAGTACCACAACAGTGGTACCAAAAGAAGAGCTGAAAATGAAAGAAACGACTCTGAAAGAAGAATCACGAGTTGTTGAAATTTCTGAGAAGAATATTGAAGAAACGACTACAAAACCAGTAAAAGAAGAAACGTTAGAAACAACGAGTATGAAGGAGGATATTGAAGAAACAACCTTAAGACCAGTAAAAGAAGATACTTTAGAAACAACAACAAATAATGAAGAAACACTAGACCTGAAAGAAGAAACGCAAATAGACTCTGAATCACCTTCACTGGAAGATTTAGAAACAACAACTGTTTCTGAAGAAGCAACAAGAGAAGACAAATTTCAGGTTGTTTCTGAAACGTCCGCAGTTGATGCAAAAGAAGAAGCGCTTCTAACTCAAAATGAAACCAAGGATTTGAGCCAAGAAACGACTACAATTTCTGAAACGTCAACAGTTACTGAAGACACAAAAGAAGAAACAAAGAATTTGGATGAAACGCAAATAGTTTCTGAAACGTCAGCAGTTACTGAAGAAACGAAGAATTTAGATGACCTCCAAATACTTTCAGAGGATGAGAAAGAAGATAAATTGGAGGCAAGAAGCGGGGATTTTGATGACATCAATTTGGAAGAAAATTCCAACGTTACGACACCAAAAGTTGAAAATGTTGCTCAAGTTAGTGAAGATTCCGTGACTGAAATTTCGGTAGACACAACAACCGAAGAAATTTTTGAAGACAATATTGTCGAAAAGACTACAGAAGTGGTTCATGAAACGACTGAAACAATTACGGAAGTGACACAAGTTGATTTAATTGAAGAAAAAGAAAGTGAAGGAATAGTTTTGCCCAAACCTAAAGTTTCAGAGAATGAAGACGAGGTTTTGCCAAAAGTAGAAGTTTCAGAAGAAAAGAAGAATGAAACTGAAGAAGTGTTACACAAGCCTGAAACTGAAACAACAACAGAAGTTCTTTCGACCGAATTTCCGAAAGACTACTTGCACGAAAGCGAAAAAACGACTTTTGCTACCACCAATATGGGCCCAACTGAGACTGAACCCGAATTTTCACCTACTAGTACCAGTTCTAGTACTACCGAAAATCACTTAATTGTTACCACGAGTACTAATCCTAGTACTTCACCCGATTTAGACGTAAGTCCTGAGTCACCAAACTTGACCCCTGCTCAAGCAACCACCGAGTCTTTGAGTATCCCTCGTGGGCGAAGTGCCCATCGCAGGATTCGCCCTTCCCGCCCTAGAAGTTACCGTCGACCAAACCCTAGACATAGATTTAGTACCGAATTGTTCACATCTCGCCCCACAAGACGAAAACCTCCTCTCGAAGACGAAATCGACTCAAACTCCCTAACAAGTCAATTAACCACCACTGAACTTGTCGCTACCTCACCCTCAGAAGAAGTCCCCCCAACCGACGCCCCCTTGTTCAAAAGTGCCAACCCAACTCAAGCCGAATCGGCCAAAGAGTCCCTCCACACGACCCCTCTCTCAATGACTTATAAATTAAGCGTGAGGAAGGGGAAACTCAAGTCGTTCATTTTTAATTGCTTCGGGAAAGCGATTAATAAGTTTTATTCGGATCCGAGAGACTGTAGGCTTTTCCATTATTGTACTTCGGGGTACACGAAGAATCAGCTGTTAGATATGAAGTTTGTGTGTGATTTGGGGACTTATTTCGACGATGAGAAACTCATCTGTACAAAGGAGAAGCCCCAAAGGTGTTTGTAAATATTGCTCTCTTAGGTAACGATCGCGTCCTATTAGCCTAAATCAATTTTGTAATTATTACTGAAGAATTGTTATGAATACTCATAGATTAATATAATTAAATTAAATCAATAAACTATTTTGTTAAATTTTTACCGGTGTTTTTTAAAACAGAAAAAAAGAAAAGAAAAGTCACAAAAATACTCTTTTTTGGTATAGATTGAATAAACAAGAAAAGAAAGTGCTAATATATTTCTTTTGGTAATTATTGCTACTGAAATTAATGAAAACTACACCACTTCAAATAATTAAAGCAACAAAAAGTTTTCCTAAATTTTTTGGTGATTTTTGAAAAGCCGTAACTCATTGAAACATGGTCGTACCTAGATTAAAAAAAATGCATTAAGAAGCTTTAAGTTTCTAGTTTCTATCTTTTTGCAAATTTTTTTTCTGTACTACGGTAATTATGCAATCCTAAGTAATAGCGCGAGAAAAAAATTCTAAAATGCTTTTTTCATATTATTTTCACGTCAATATATCGCTGAGATATCTGACTTTAAATGAAAAAGGATTCTTTTGTCTTTGATCATCGATATTTCAGCAACCAATGACGACACAGAGAATATAAGGGTAGTGTCAAAAACTGGAATAAGTATCTTACATGATCCTCAACAGTTTTGCAAAAGAATTAAAAGAACAATTGCACATATTGTTTCTGAACATTGCTTAATTTTTATCAAAATGAAAGAAACAACTTTTTATCGCCTTTTTCTACAATTTCGAATTAGTTATTTGCTAAAAAAAATTTAAACAAAATTTTTTATTTTTTTTGGAAACTGTTAAAACATTTAAGAAACAATACTGCTTAATTTTTTTTTAATTTTTTTTTCAAATTTAACTAATAACTCATGCAAAATTGTAAAAAATCTGAAAAAAAAACGTTTTTCTCATTTTGACGAAGATAAGACAATGTTCAGAAATAATATGTATAATTATTGTTCCTTTAATTCTTTTGGAAAATTTTGATCAATTGGTCCTAGAAAACGATTTAAAAATTTACAAGGAAATGAGGGGTACATTAAGGTGTAAAAATACCTAAAAACATTAGTCTCCCTATCAATATTAGTGAACACGTGGTAGATTTACTAAAACAACGTAAAAAGTTATTTTTTTCTCTTTTCTTTAAAACAATGTTGGGTGAAAAAAAAAATATTTTTCAGAAACCAATAAAAGAATTTTGTAAGACATTTATTCCAGATTTTGACATTACCCTTATATTCTCTGTGTGGTCATTGGTTGCTGAGATATCAATAATCAAAGACAAAAGGATCCTTTTTCATTTAAAATTAGATATCTCAGCGACAAATTGACGTAAAGAGAATATGAAAAAAGCATAAAAAAGGTGAACAAACATGCTATCCGGCCTATGCATTGACTTAACAAAAAAAGGGATTGTGTGATAACTAGCAAAATTTTTGCTAAAAAATCTCAAAACTAGAAGCTTAAAGCTCCAGATAATTTTTCGATGTTACATCAAATTTAAGAAATTTTTTTGTTTCTTTAATTTTTGGAGTAGTGTAAAATAAAAAGAAGAAAAACAATGTGAAAGAAAAATTTTGTTTCGCTAAAACTGAAATCTAAAAAGTAAAAAAAAACTTGCCGGAAGAGTGGAAAAAAGGCCAAATGAGGTAACCGCTTTCAGTTTTATATAACAGTACTTTACTCAGTTAATAAAATAATACAATATGTACAACCTTAGATTAGAATAAAGTTACGAATTTTCATCTGGTCGATACAAAAATACTGTTCACTGCGTACAATAAAATTAAAACAGACTTAAAAAACAAACAACTAACTTAAAACTACCCTAATTTTTTACATTTGCTTTCTTAATTTCGGTATCAATCTCATATTCGGGCTCACTGCCCACATTCGTGTCATAGTAGGCATAATCGTAGCTCACATCTTTAACTTTTTTGACCGGTTTTGGGGTCGATTTGGGAAAATCTGTCGCTTTCGGGGTATTTGGGCTCACGGAGAAGGGTCTCGGCGACTCATATTGAGGTTTTTGCGTTGATTGTTGTGCGTTTTTGGTCGATTTTGAGTACTCATTTCGACTGCTAGCAATGTTTTGACTATGGGCTGTTTTCAAAAACTCGTCCTCATTCCGGTCATATTTGGGGTTGTAGGAGCCATCGTCGTATTGCGTTTCATCGAAACGGTTCGATCTCGCAACAGGGGTAGTTGAGGTGATTTTGGGCACTGTTGGGGTGTATTGTGTGAATGGGGTTGTTCTCGGCGTGCTGTGTTGTTGTTGATGATTGTTGTTGTTCGAATTGTAGAAAGTTGTCTGTTGGGAAATTTGGGTGTAGGCGTTGTTGGTACGTGGGGCAAACGTCGAGGGGAAATTGTTGTTGTTGTTGAATTTCGGGGCAAAAGTTGTGGGGTAATTGTCGTTTTGTTTGAATGGTGTTGTTGGTTTTTTGTTGAATTGGGTTGAATAATCATTCTTGATTTGGGTGGTTGGGTAATTGTCATTCTGTTTCGTTGGTTTTATTTTAGGAACGTCGTAGTGGGTATTATATTGGGTAACTTTCGGTACTTGAGTCGTGTATTGATTCCGGTTGTTCACTTCCGTCGGTTTACTATTAAACTGGTTGTTGTTGTTGTTGTTATTTCTGGGGGCTTGATTTCTCTGAGGGTAATTCTCAGTCGGTTTGTTGTAATTCTGTTTCGGAAAATTCACGGGGTAATTCTCAGTTTCCTTTTGCGGTACTTGAGTCGTTGGGTTGTACTGGCCGTTGTTGTTGTTGTTTTGTGTTGTTTGTCTATTTGGAGGACTGTTGTACTGTTGGGTCTGCTTAAACGGAGCCGGAGTACTCAATGTGTAAGAAGGAGTCGGAGAATTTTGATTCTGTCTGAAATTATCAGCATTGTTGTACTGTCTTTGCCCATTTCTGGGCTTCACCGTTTCGGGGAAAGTTGTCGTTGTAGGCCGGGTTGTTGTAGGCACGTAACTACTCCCTGCAAAGTTGTTGGCAAAGCCGGTCGGACGGTTAGGCCTGTAGGTCTGGGCCTCGACGTATTGTTGTTGTTGATTTTGTTGCTGCTGTTGGTTATTGTTGTTTTGAGCTCTATTATTTTGTTGCTGGTAGTTGTTTGGTTGTTGTTGTTGTGGCCTACTATTTTGTTGCTGTTGTTGGTTATTGTTTTGAGGCCTAATGTTTTGTTGTTGCTGTTGATTGTTGTTTTGAGGCCTGTTATTTTGTTGTTGGTTGTTACTAGGGTAATTGTTGTTTTGAGGCCTATTGTTTTGTTGTTGCTGTTGATTGTTGTTTTGAGGCCTGTTATTTTGTTGTTGGTTAGTATTAGGGTAATTATTGTTTTGAGACCTAATATTTTGTTGTTGCTGTTGTTGGTTGTTTTGGGGCCTAATGTTTTGTTGTTGCTGTTGTTGGTTGTTTTGGGGCCTGTTATTTTGTTGCTGCTGTTGGTTGTTGTTTCGGGGTCTGTTTTGTTGTTGCTGTTGATTGTTGTTTTGTTGCTGTTGTGGCCGACCCTGGAAATCATTTTGTTGTTGCGGTCTGCGATTTTGTTGGTTGTCGTTTTGTGCTGGTCTTCGGTGTTGTTTCCTCAACAGCTTCTTCTTCTGGAAGTTGTCGTTGTTCTGATTGGCGTTGATGTTATCGTCATAATCGTCGTCAGTTTCTTTTCCGCCGTTTCTATTATTGAAGAAATTCGAGCTACTTGACCCTTTGAAAATTTCCCTGTCGTTGTTGTTGTTGTTGTTGTTTTGGGGTCTGTTTTTCCTGAAGGCTTGTTCCTTTTGCTGATTAACCCTCTGGGCTTGATGTTCCCGATTGAGTCTCGCGTCACCAGTTTCAGCTCTTTGCAACGCAAACGTTTCTTCATCTTCCCCATACTTCACCGCTTTTGATTCAAAACCTGAAAACCAGTTCAAAACTAGGCTAAAAATGTCGTCGTTTTTCGTAACATTTGCGCATGCCATGTGCAATATCAGCCTCAGGCAGGAGATGCAACAAAGTGAAAGTTACCTGATCCGATGCGGTAAAGGTCAAAATTGTCGCTAGAATAATACAAAGTGGAAGCATCACAGTCCACGTCCTCCCATTCGGCGCAAATCTGGTGATCTTGGTCGAAAGCCGTCCCATTGGGACACAAAAACCGAAAATCTTGAATCTGCAATCACTCATTTACCCCACTGTTTGAACCCAAAACCGGAAATTACCCCAACTCCGGCCACTTTGACGCAAATGTGGAACATTTGGCACATGGTGTCCACATCGGCGTAATAGCCCCCGAGGATTTTATCACGGCAGGAAAACTCCGTATCAGGCATGTTCTCCAGACTGTAGGTCGGGAAAGGGCGGTTGTTCAAAAATTGGGCGCAGGAGAAGCCCAAAAGGCCTGAAAAAAAATAAATCCGGGAGTGTGGAATCTCAAGGCTCATTATGCAACACCGCTAAATTATTCAAGAGATGGTTGCGATAGCTATTAATAAAGTCGTCATTTGACAGCAAAATTAATTTAAGATATAAAAAATTTGCAATTAAATTACTCGAATTAAGTGTTACAGCGCCAATCATGTGTGTAAATTAATTAATTAAGTTGCATTGTTGCAAGATTTTCATCTAAATGGGTCGCACAATTTAGAGAATTTTCTCAAGTCGTTACATATTATTATATAACTTTGTGCACCATTGTTACGCTCGCTTTTTCTCTGTTGTAACACCGTGGGAAAATCGCGATTTTTCCAAAATTTGAAAATCACAATTTTTTCACAACACTTCCAAGTTCACTACCACTTTTTTCTACTCACCTATGAAAATAAAACTGACACCCTTCATGTTGGTAAGCCACTGAATGACTGAAGAATCACTTGATGTGTCTTGAAGATGTTAGTGAAAGGATGTCCTCCGAAGAGGGGCTGAGGTGAGTCGGGGGGACGCCGACCCAGAGAAAAACACTCTCGGTTTCTACAATCCGCTTAAGAATTCGTAGAGGATGATCTCAAGGCCGGCGATGATCATATTGATAAAAATAACTGGCATTTCGAACGTTTTTGCAAAAATTTCATGGAATCATTGTTCAAAAGCTTAGTGACACTCGAAAAGTTCACTAGATCGAAGAAGAGTGAAAGTGCAACATTAAGGTCGCACAAGAATCGTGATTTTTTCTTCTAGGACAGGAGATCATTCCCGTGTGAACACGTTTAGGAGTTAGAATGCGGATTCAACCAAGGATTTACAAGTCTAACTGTAGCAAAGGTCACCTCATCACAATTATTTTAATAACTCGAAACACAAGAAGAAGACTTTGTTAAGCCTTGGACCTAGACAGAATTCTAAGGATTGCAATCATAAAACGTGATCTGTTTTCAATCTTTATTTCTTTGTACTGTCTAGTATACATGGGGAATAAATAATTCTAAGACTAGGTTATCACGACGCGACTGTGGTTACCTCAGTTGTAGCAACTTCGGTACTATTCTCCGGCGGTGTTACATTCATTGGGGGTGGACCCCAGTAAGGGGGTGGAGGGTAGAATCCGGGTGCGTACCCCCAATACGGCGGGGGCGGGTATTGCGTCCCATTGCCGGGAATTGGCGGTGGGGGCGGGTACCACATGGACGGGTATTGCGTCCCATTGCCCGGAATTGGGGGTGGAGGGTATAACATGGGTGGATTTTGCGTCCCATTCACAAGTGTGGAATTTGTGGTTTCTTCTGTAACATTCATTGGAGGCATGGACGGGTCAGGTACCGCCATTGTGGTAACACAAAACTTGTTACCATCACTCTGTGGTAACGTAATATTACTTGATTGTAACGAATCAAGTGTCATATTTGTAAAACAAGGTAAGTTTACTGTTGTTGTGTTACCACCACTGGTTTTATTTTGACATAAAGGATCATTCGTGTCAATGCAAGGAATGGTACTATTGACACACAAAGCGCCATTATTATCCTGACAAGGACTCGCCGACGTCATACTTGTGACACACAAAATCCTGTTATCGTTGGTACAAATAGCCACAGTTCCTGGTACACAAATATTGGTAGCATTTTCATTACACAAGGTTAAAACGTTTGCTGGTAGTGTTATTTCTTGTTGGACAACATCTTTAGGTTGGTTGTAATAATTATATACCTTATAAGGTTTACTTACAAGGCCTGAGACTAAATACCAGACGAAAAGGCCACCTAAAACATTCCTAAATGCGTGTTTACCGAAGAAACCCCCGGATTTTTTCATCCCATAACCGCCATAACCTCCATAACCGCCATATTTGTTACCAAACATGCCGCCGGAGTAACCGCCGTAACCCCCCATGGAAGAGTGGTAACCCGGATTGTAACCTTGTTGTCCATAATTGTAACCGCCAGGAGCGTGGTAACCTCCAGGAGCTTGGTAACCCGGATTGTAACCTCCGGGAGTTTGTTGTCCATAATTGTAACCGCCTGGAGCGTGGTAACCCCCAGAAGCTTGGTAACCCGGATTGTAACCTCCGGGAGTTTGTTGTCCATAATTGTAACCGCCAGGGGCGTGGTAACCTCCGGGAGTTTGTTGTCCATAATTGTAACCACCAGCTTGGTAACCCGGATTGTAACCTCCGGGAGCGTGTTGTCCATTGTACCCACCAGCCGGGCTTTGTCCATAATTGTATCCTCCCGGAGCGGGTTGTCCAACCCCGGAGTTTTGCTGGGGGTACGGCGCACTGGCCGTGTGGGCCGGGTTGACATTTTGCTTCTTCACCGGTGAGTTGTTGTCCACATTCCAGCCAATGGGCCGCCCGGAGTTTCCGGTGGGGGCGCTTTGCTGCACTTGCGATGTCTCCTTCTTGATTTCCGGTTGACTTCCCGGAGTTTTGGCCTTGCCTTCGTTGGATTTTTTCCGGGTCCAGAAGCCCGTACCACCGGACGAAGAACCGCGACTCCGGCCTCGTGATCTTTTTGACTCGATTAGAGTTGTGGCGAGTAAAATGAGCAAAAGGGCGATTTTGAAACGCATTGTTGCAAGTTTGGATTGAAACTGAAGTGGAAAAATGTGAAGTTGACTTGGCAAGGAGTTAATTGGGAGTTTCCGGTGTGTCAAAGCGGCTCTTGTTACTTGATTAAGTTTTATTTGTGCGATTTATTCATGAGGAGCAATTTGTTAAAAGTTGTTTATCAGAGATGTTTCAAATGAAGATTTTGAAGTGGCCGTCACCTTTAGACAGTCATAATAAAAATGATAATGGGTTTGACGTTTGGTATTTAGAGGAGGATTGCTCATAGAGAGAATCTTTGAATAAATAAGAACTACACACCTACTATTTGACAAAGACACTTTCCAATAGTTCACCGGTTTCTCCGGAAATCGCTTAAAGAGTGATAAAAATTTAATTGTCTAAATAAGAGAGTGAATTGAGATAATTAGAATTTTGTTTGTGCTCTTACATGCATGATTAATTAATCGGTGAATCTTAATGAAAAATCTCCAAGGTTTTTGCACGATTCTCACCGATTTAACGCTTTCATAACAAATGTCCCCTTGAACCATCAAATTTGCATAGATAATGACAGGTTATTGTATTTTTTAATTGAGTTGTCTCCGCGTCCTCCAATTCTGCATTTTTACGTAATAGAACAGTTAAAACACCAAAAATGTCACTTTACCCCACACCCAGCCATGAGAAACCCATCTTCCTCCTTTCCTCATCTAACCTTTAATGGTTTTCAATTTATTACGTTTGTAGAAAGTAGTGAAATGGTGAGAATTGTCTTACCCAGAGACATTGTTTGTTTCGCCGAAAATATTGATGAATTCAGAAATTGCATAAGTCTGGCGCAAGGATAAAGGAAATGGCCGAACAAGTCCCGAGATTATCTCAGTTAACACCGAGGAAAAAACTAGCGGTTATTACCAATTGCGTAAATGTCGAAGAGGATGCGAGTTTCTAAATACCACCATGGACGTTTAAAACACCGAAAATGGACGAAAAAAGATGAAGTAAATGTCATGGGACAAGATGGGATGTTGGTTTTCGTGCAAATGGTTTGATTTCCTATTTTTGCGTAAGCGTCGAGACTTGAGTGGATTGCGATGCTCGGCCTTGCTGGAAGTGTTACGGTTTAAAGATGGGTTTAATAACTCAATCAGAAATTGGTTCATGGTTCAAAATTAATTGTACCCTTGGCTGAAACGAAAGCGTCTTGAGCTTTTTGTCTGTTTTGTTGTTTTTACAGACAAATTATTTGTAACAGCAGTTGCGTTTTAACTATTGTTTTAACTAGAAAGAAGTTTATTTGGCAAGATTCATAATTTAAAAATTGAAACAATTCTGTTCTTTTTAAACTCGACTCAATAACGTTTTATGCACTTTTTTGAGTCTTTAAGACCTCTAGAAATGTAAAAAACGTTATATGGAAGAATTTTAAGGTTACATTTTTTTTTGATATTTATGGAGATTTTGGTCGATTTTTGGAACCCGGAGCGGTCTATTGCCAATAACTCCGGACTTATTGGTAATAACCTCTTATATTTGGTACCGTTGGAAAGAGAATTTAATTTTCTATCATATACAAAAAAGATCAGTGCTCTGCGATAAATAGTTATCGAGAAAATTTSTGATAAAGTCAAAAATATCGAAAATTTAAATACGTCTATAACTTCAAAACTATTAGGAATTTTGCAGTTTTCTTGACGCCAAGCGATTCCCCGGAACATTTTACATAGGTTTAGGTCAAAACATCACATCATTTAGGCACAGTTTTGCCGCAATTTACAAATAAAAAAAACTAAAAATTTGTTAACACCCCCCCCCTTAAAATCTAGTGTTTTTGAACATGTCTCAGATTCGATTTAAACCTATCTTATCCGATAGATTTTGACGCGCTAGTTACGAATTTACCAACCACATTGGGCTATCTCCTTTAGTTTCGCCGTAATCGGCGTTTAAAAATTCAAATTTTTTTTGCGAGATATCGACTTGGCTTTGGCCTCAGTCGATAGATTTTCTTACGCTGATTACGATGGAGTTGAACTTTTTGCTCTAAGTCTAATAGTTTGGCCGTAATCGTCGTTCAAAAAGTCAAAATTGTCAAAATTGTGAAATTTTAAACGCGTTTTTCTACGAAACTATAAGAGTTAGAGTATAAAGCTAAAAACCATTAGAATTAGCTTGAAATTATCTATCTAATGGCGCAAACTGGAAGTCGCTCCGGGTTATGGTTCCGGGTACAGAGCCATTTTTAGTTTTATTAAAAAAAAATTAATATCTCAAAAACTATGAGTCCTAGATCAGGCGTGTTCTACGGTTAATTTTACATATAGTGCTAGTTTTTCATAAGAATAAAAAAATTTTGATTTTTTGGTCAAAATCGGATATTTCTAGCCTTYTTCTTAACTTTATAATTCAATATCTCAAAAACTATGCATCGTAGAGTATTTTAACTTGTTGCATCGTGTTCAGCGCGTAATTTTACGTCTAGAAAACTATATTTCAAGCGTTTTTACGACTTTTAGTAAATTGACTATTTTTACGATTTTACTACCGCTCACCTTGAAAAACTCAAAAAATTCGTAATTTTTTAAACTTGACCCAATAACGTTTTATGCACTTTTTTGAGTCTTTTAAGGTTAAAAGTTTTTTTGATTTTTGTCGAGATTTTGGTCGATTTTTGGAACCCGGAGCGGTCTATTGCCAATAACTCCGGACTTATTGGTAATAACCTCTTATATTTGGTACCGTTGGAAAGATAATTTAATTTTCTATCATATACAAAAAAGATGAGTGTTCTACGATAAATAGTTATTGAGAAAATTTCTGATAGATTTAAAAATTTAAAAAATCTAAATCCGACTATAACTTCAAAACTATTACGAATTTCGTAATTTTCGTGCGTCTGGACACTACTCGTCTTCGAGCATTTTAACTAGATTTAACGTCAAAAATTCATTTTAAATGCTTCCACAATTTAAAATGAAGTGTGAAATTATATAAAAAAGATTTCAATTAAGTGCGTTGTAGTTAATCAATGTTTTAATGAGGCAATTCGTGGGGTAGCGATTGCTTTCTAATCCCCGGAAGGAACTGCAACCCATTGTTGAGAAGCAATAGAAATTGGTAAAAGTCTCCCACACGAAACCGGTCCATCTGTCAACAATGTGTAACATACTAAATCTTTCTTACACAATCTCATTCGGTTGTAAAATTGCGAAATTAAACCAATTAGGCATAAGTCAAAGTGAGCACATGTCCGCGATAAGCGATGGTTCTCACGAGGCTTTCGCCATTAGGTATTTGGGTACGGCCCCCTCAATTAATAACCGAATTCTAATCATGGGTTTAAGTTCGATTAGGCGCTGATTTAGAATCTTGAAGATTTATGGGTTTTTCGGAGAGCGAGAATTACACCAACATTGTGTGTTTTTAATGAGTTTTGAAACGTATCCAGCATTGTCTTGTCTAATTAATGTCAAGTGTTTGTGACCCACTTCAAGACTTGCCACTCAAAATCCTGAAATCAATATTTTCTGACGTAATTAAGCAAGTTATCCGATATTTGTCAAGCGAGATGTTACACATTGAGACATTGATAAATCGCAAAATACTTTCGTTTGGCCTCGATTTCAATTTCAAAAATTTTATTGTGATGTTGCCAACTCATCTCTTCGGCATCCATAAGTGATCGGAGCTGTTGCACAATGATGCTATCTCAGGAATTCAACTTTAATCAATTGCAAAATCCCATTATTTCTCCCTACGTGTGAAATGTCCTAAACAGAGCAAATCGGTTCCGAAATTTGCATACAATTGGCCTCCAACACACCCAGGGGGTGTCCCATTCGCTCTAAGGTCACGAAGATTCGCATTATGTAACACATAATTCCTATTAATTATCTCCGGTTACCGAATCGGCCCATAGCTCACCGCATCTTCGCTTTCTCTGCGACCTCTTCACCCCCACGGGAAAGTTAGCATCGGTAATGTCATCAGCGACTTCCCGATTCTCGAACAAGTTGCGCTTTGATGGGGTTTTCATTTTCGTAACTTAATTGGGGAAGGACGGCGATTTTTTTTGCGATGGGTTGCGTAAGCGATGGGAGATGATGGGCTCGGGTAATTACCCAACTTTAATTGGAGGAGTTAGAATGGGTTGCGTCACTCGCTTCCTTTACATTTCCTCCGCGGACTGCTACCATTGTCTGAGAGGTGTAGGAATTTCACTTCGTGGAATCTAAACCGATTTTCAAGATGCTTATCCGTTAAATTTAATTAAAAAAATAATTTTATTTAAGAGTAGGCAACCAACAATACAATAATTTTTAATTTATTCTATTTACGGGTTAAGAAAAATGGCAAACTAAAAATTTAATGCACATTGAAATGTTAAAAGTTTACTTTGTAACACTTACACAAATTTTTAAAACGTTTATGTAGTAATATTTAATTAAAAAATTATAATTAATTTTTAAGATAGGCAACCAGCAATACTTTATTATTATTGATTCATTCCATTTACGAGTCTAGGAAAGTTTCTAACTGTACATTCAATGCATATTGTTAAATTAGTTAGTTGTGCAAACATTGCAACCCAAGGTTATTTCAGGTTTTTCACCCTTTATTGTAAATAAACCGAGTTATTTAACTTTTAAACTTGCTGATCTTTAGCTAAATCAAGGTGTTGATTGAATTAATGAAAAAATGTTGTCAAACACGATTTAATTAACATATTATTTCGTAAAATTAGCTGTTAAATTTCACTTGACAAATATGTTTTCAGTTATGTAAATGTTTTTAATAACGTAATGAGCGTTTGTTTGAATATTGACAATATTCCAAGGTAGTAAACAGCATTGTCTGGGGGCTAATTGAGTATTGCATGCACTATCGAGGTTCTGGGTAAATATAATGAGGAAATGGGGCTATTCCCTTAGGTTTGAGGACAAACAAGGTTTGAAGGTTAAATTTGTAAGGAAAAGATGTACTAACTCGATTTACTGTGGTTAATTGTTTTATTATTGATTACAACCATTATAAAATTGAAAAACCGGACTTTGTCAAGATTTAAAATTCCGGTTGTGGTGTAACATTAGCCACAGAAAGTACTTTTTTTTATTAAACAAAGAATATTTGGAGGGATGAAAGTGTAACAACTTGTGTTACTGTTGTCAAATGTTTTATATTGAGTATTGTCATTATCAAATTAAAAAAACTGGATTCTAAGTAAATTTAAAATTCCGGTTTTGGTGCAACGTTAGTCACACACAGCATTTTTTATTGAAGAAAAAAATGTTTAAGCTTTGCAAATAAGTCGCCAAACATTAAATCATCACAGTTTCAACTTTTTGCACCAACCTACAAGCACTTTAGAGGTCTTAGGTAATTTTACCCGGATTTGAAATTCCCGATTTTAGCGTAACGTTAGCCACGAACAAAATTTAACTTGGAAAAAAACAGATTTATGTTTACGTCTTGTATAAAAACCGTCAAACATTACAATTCTAACTTTTTTTACCAACCTGAATTCGTAAATTAGTGCTATATTTAATTATTTAATTTTTGCGGAGCGTGACCTTAGCCACACACTTTGTGACATAACAATGTCGGGTCAAATTACATTTGAAATTACAAAAAACGTGTAAAATTCGAAGTTTACAAATTACCAGTTTCTAGTGCTTATTACTCTACTAATTATTTATTACATAATTTAGGTATAGTGAGTTTTGCTTCATTACGTAAGTTTCCTAACCTCACTTTTAGGATTCGTGAAAAAATGGGGAACACAGTCTCAGCGGCGGAAATCGCCGCCACGCAAATCATGCACCCTAACACAACTCTGCACCAAAATGCGAAAAAGCACGAGTTTCACAGAAGTTTCACCCACGGGGAGATCCCACCGGAGTGTCCCATGCACCGGCCCAAGGGGGCCTCGGAGTGTCCCGTGAACCACGGCGAGATTAACCCCCTTAACATGGTACTTTGTGCATCCTGTGACGGAATTTTGGCTTAATTTGGCTTTTCAGATGGGCCCCGCGAACCAAAACCCGTCCCCTGGCCAACCCTTCCCTCTCCCGACTGAAAGACAAGTCTCCAACATTCCGAGAGCCATCGTCCAGGACGGTGACAGCCCCTTTTGGGTGTACCCCAGCCAACAAGTGCGTAGACTCATCACGAGTCCCAAAAATTGTAATTCGATTTCAGATGTTTTGGAACGCCATGCTGAGGAAGGGGTGGCGTTGGAAGGACGAGGATGTGACCCAGAAGGACATGGACGATATTATAAAAATCCACAATGCAAATAACGAGCAAGCGTGGCTGGAAGTCCTCAAATGGGAGGCACTTCATGCCAAGGAGTGTGGGGCCCCAAAACTGAAATCTTTCGGCGGGAAAGCGACCACTTACAGTCCTAGGGCGCGAATTCGGTGGTTATTGGGGTACGAATTGCCGTTTGACCGCCACGACTGGATCGTGGACAGGTGTGGAAAGGAAGTGAGGTACATTATCGACTACTATGATGGGGGCATGGTTGACCAGAAGTATCAGTTTGCGCTGTTGGACGTGAGGCCCGCCATGGATAGGTTGGTATCATTGTTTTAAGTCACTGTTGCTAGATGATGATTTTTTTTGGATAAAAAATTCCCTAGATTTCCTTTGGTCTCTCTTCCCTCGTTAAGGAAGAAATTATTACATTAAATATTGTTACAATAACATAATTACATATAACTAGATTTTTTTTTTCAACTTTGATATTTTTTTTAAACAATCATTTTTAGCAAAAGTAGAACATATTGCACATGTTTGTACCAAATTATGAAGAAAAAAATATGGGTTCTAATTTAAAATTAGAAAGTTGAATATAGCCCAAAATATACTATAAGACTTAGAAGAAATATAAAATTGTCAGG